GGGGGGGTGTCCATATGGTGTCTTAGCTGGGTCTGAACTCGGGGCTTCTGGCTCTAATGTCCTTTCCCAAAGGCTTCATGCCTGCATTGCACCCCGAGGGGGAGGGGACACAGCACAGGCTGCAGCGCCAAGCACTGCTATTTCATGCCAGTGGGCAGGCACCAGTGGCCATCCTGCATGCCAACACCGTGTCACTGTCCCCATCGCTCAGCCCCCACGGCCAGTAAAACACAGCTGAGAGGCCCCAGCATCCCAGTGGTGAAGGCCACTTGGTCACCGCACTCACATTGCTGCTTGGAGACCCAGCCACGTGGATGCAGGCAGGTGAGTCTGTGGTCTGGCCTGTCCTGGACACAGAGATGCCAGCCCAGGTCTGTCTACAGCCAGCTGTGCAGGGGAGGAGGCACCTGTGTTCCTGACACGTGTTGACTGATTTAACCTCCCCAAGCCCCAAGCCTTAGTTTCCTCATCTATAAGATGGGAATCTGAACACCTGTCTCACCATAAATATAGAAATTTTAAAAAGAAAAAACAAAAAACATTGCTGTCAGGTCGATTCTGACCCATAGTGAGCCCGGGTCTAAGAGTAGAGCTGCTGCATAGGTTTCTGGGCTGTCATCTCCATGGAGGCATTGCCTAGGTTCAAACCACCAACCTTCAGATTAGAAGCTGACCACAAAGCACCTGTGCCCCCCAGACTCCTTAAGGCAACAATTGTTGTTGTTGTTGTTTTCATTGTCATTGTTGTGAGGGGTCTTTGAGTTGATTCTGATGGAGTAGAATTGTCCATAGACTTTTCTTGGCTTCATCTTTACAAGGCAAAGCAAAAGGTCTTTCTCCCATGGAGTGGCCAAGTGGGTTCGAACCACCAACCTTTCCAATAGCAGCCGAGCGCCTAACAAATACCACCACCAGAGCTCCTTAAGGTAAGAACACTTACCTTTATTCTTGTTGATCTCTAAGAACAAAATGAGACCTGAGTCTGCAGACCCAAAGCAGTGAGCTCACCTTTCTCAGTCCCCTGGTCCCTTTGCTATTGATGACAATCCCACACACAACGGGATGGGACCCTTGTAATCCACAGTTTTCATGGACTGATTTTCAGACATAGATCCCCAGGCCTTTAATAATAATAATCCATCTTAGTCTGGAAACCCGTTCAGTATAACAGCAACACGCATGCCCCTGCTGACACTGGTGGTGCCACCCAGGAGGTGCACTGGGCAGAAATGGAACCCTGGTCTCCCACGTGGAAGGCGAGAATTCTACCCCTGCCCCCTCCTTCATTGCTGTTGTGTGCTAAGAGTTTGTTCCTACTCCTGGTGACCCTACTGGAGAGAGCAGAACTGCCCCATAAGGTTTCCTAGGCTGTAATCTGATGGAAGATTTCCAGGCCTTTTCTCCTCAAAGTGGCTGGTGGGTTTGAACAGCCAGCCTTTCCTTTAAAACAAAACAACAACAACAACAACAAAATGAACTCACTGCCATGGGGTCAATCCCGACTCATAACAACCCCTCTTTGTGTTTCTGAGGCACTATCGCTATGGAAGTAGATTGCCCAACCTTCCTTCCAAGGAGTGGCTGGTGGGTTTGAACCACCAGCCTTCTGGTTGGCAGTCAAATACCTTAGGCACTGCACCACCAGAGCTCCTAATCTTTCCCTCAGCAACCAATAAATGGTTTTAACTATTGTGCCTCCAGGCCTACTTCCGACTTTTCTACCCCTCCTGTTGTCAGGGCTCCTCAGGGCTCTGTCTTAGGCTCACTTTTTGTTTCACTCTGCACACTTGTGCAACTTTCTCCACCCCCTAGTGGGAAAGCCTCCTCTAAGCAGGCCTCCAGTTATCCCCACCTCCTGGGCTTCATGACCTTGTGGAATCTCCTCCTCTTGAATGTGGGCTGAACCTAGGGACTGGCGTCTAATGAACTGAACATGGCAAAGTGCTAGGCGTCCACTCTGTTTGTATACTTGCAAGAGAGGAAGCCATCTTGCATGTTACAAACTACCCTATGGAGAATCCATGTAGCAAGGTGCTTAGGGAGGTCTTGGTCAATGGCCAGTAAGTAACTCAGGCCCCCCTTACCCTCAGTCCAGTAACCCACAAGGAACAGAAACCTGCCAACAGCCATGTCAGTGACTGAAGTATCAAGTCTTCCCCACCTAGTCCAGCTGTGAAGTGACCGTAGCCCCAGCCAACAGCTTGATTGCAGCCTGGGAGAGACATGGAGGCAGAGACCCCCAGGTCAGCCACACCTGAATTCATTCCTGACCAACAATAACTGGGAAATAATAAACATCTATGGTTTTCAAGTCACTCAGTCTTGGGGTGATTTCTTATGCAGCCACCAGTCACTAATACACGTTTTGTCAACATCTACATTCAGAACCACCCCTGGTTTAGAGCTCCATCCTTCTATGTCCTCTCGGTTCTGTGACGCTGAGCGAGGGGTCTTCCTGCTGGTTTTCCAACCTCTGCCACTGGCTCTTCCTTCTTTGCTCAGCTTCTTACTATTGGTCAGGCCCAGGGCTCATTCCTGGGCCCGTTCTTGTCTCTCTATACACACGACGTCTGGATGATCTCACCCAGTCCGTGTTTTAAATACCAATCATAGGCCTGTTGTTGTTGTTGTTGTTGTTTGCCATCGAGCCGGACCCAACTCATAGCAACCCCTCCTTGGGTTGCCAAGGCAGTATTACTATGGAAGTAGATTGCCCCATCTTCCTTCTGAGGAGTGGCTGGTGGGTTTGAACCTCCAGCCTTCTGGTTAGCAGTCAAGTGCCTTAAGCACTATGCTACCAGAGCTCCCTAACCATAGGCCTATGCCTTCCAAATCCAAGTCTTCATCCTGGCCCAACCCAAAAAGCATCCAACTCATGGCAATTCCAACTCATGGCAACCCACGTGTTTCAGACTAGAACTCAGCTCCATAGGGTTTTCCTGGCTGTCATCTTTATGTAAGCAGTTAGACCAGCCCTTCCACAGTGTCCCTCGGTGGGTTTGAACTGCCAGCCTTTGGGTTACTTCTTGTTGTTGTTAGGTGCTAGCTTGAATTTCTGGCAATGCCCTGTCTAGGTACTGCTGCAACCATTTTTTATTTATTTTCAGCAACATCTTACTTGCATGTGGTATTAATGATATTGTTCAGTAATTTCCTCATTCTGTTGGACCACTTTTCTTTGGAATGGGCACAAATATGGATCTCTTCCAGTCAGTTAGTCAGGTAGCTGTCTTCTAAATATCTTGGCATAAACAAGGGAGGGCTTCTAGCATTGCATCTGTTTGTTGAAACATCTCAATAGGTATTCCATCAATTCCTACAGCCTTGTTTTTCACCAGTTCCTTCAGTACAGCTTGGACTTCTTTGTTCAATGCCATCAGTTCTTGATCATATGCTGTCTCCTGAAATGCTATCAATTGTTTTCTGTACAGTGACTCTGTGTATTTCTTCCATCTTCTTTTGATGCTTCATGCATCATTCAATATTTTGCCCATAGAATCCTTCAATATTGCAACTCGAGACTTAAATTTTTTTTTTTAATTTAGTTCTTTCAGCTTGAGAAATGCTGAGCTGTGATCCTTAGGTTTTACTGGATGCTTTTCAGAAGGAGGTTACCAGGCCTTTCTCCTTAGTCTATCTTCATCTGGAAACTCCACTGAAATGTCTTCACCATCACAGCAACACACAGGCCTCCACTGATGGACAGTCCGGGCTGTGCATGAGGTGCCTGGCCGGGAACCAAACCCAGGTCTCCCACACAGAAGGCGAGGATTCTATTTGTAATCTCAGGTAACACAAAATGAAAACCACATGCACTGACTGAAACCAGAGGGAAGAAGGTCAAAAGCTCTAAGTACGTCTGCTGTGAGCACTGTGCTGTTATAAGAAGGACCTACATGAAATCAAGTTGACAACAGTAACTAGAAAAGTTGGTTGGGAAGCTAAAGGGGCAGTGAG